CCCGTGCAAAAAGCATATATTACATTTTTTTTGTCTAGTTCTTATCAAATTCTCTCCGGTTCTTACTTCTTATCAAAGTCGACAAAGAATTTAATTTATGATTTTGTTTTGGTATAGAAACAACAGACAATTATGAAAATACCCCAAATAAAAAACAAAATTAAAAATCTAGGCTGTATCTTTTAAAATCAAAAATATACCCTACTTTTTCCGGGATGATAATAAAACCCATAAACCCCAATTTCCTTTTCTCCCCAGTATGACTGTATGAGTCACACCACCATGGACTCCGCAATCGCGACGGAGCAACGATCGAGGTACGTTGAAGATGACGAAGCTGAGGAGGAAGACATTTGCAGAATCTGCAGAAATCCAGGAGATGCGAACAATCCGCTTCGGTATCCTTGCGCCTGCAACGGAAGCATCAAGTTTGTTCACCAGGATTGCCTCTTTCAATGGCTTCATCACAGCGACACTCTTCACTGCGAGGTTTTGCTTCTAATTTTTTCCCTACAGATTGAAGAAACATGTGCATGATTTTGGATTTTGGATGCCTTTTACGAGCTTTGTGTGAGCTCTGTTGTATCTTAGCTTGGTAGGGATTATAGTCTCTTTTGTAGAGGCTTTGCTTCTTCTTATTTGAGTTCATGAATGAGATCAAATTATTAGGGAATGTTAATTTGATCTTGGCAGGTTTGCAAGCATCCTTTTTCATTCTTCACCGTGTATGCTGATAATGCTCCCACAAGGCTTCCTTTACAAGAGTTTGTATCTGGCATTGCGATGAAATCTTGCTCTCTTTTGCACTTCTTTATGCGGTTGAGTTTTGTGCTTTCGGTATGGCTTCTCACTGTTCCGTTCGTTACATTTTGGATATGGCGATTGGCTTTTCTGCGGAGTTTTGGTGAAGCTCAGAGCTTGTTCTTAAGTCACATCTCCACCACAGTTATTCTCGTGGATTGTTTCCTTGGGTTCTTACTGTCGGCAAGTATTGTATTCATTTTCCGTGTTCCAAATCCATTGAGGGATTTATTTAGGCATTTGCAAGAAGGCATTCCATTTGACGAGCTGGTTGGAATGCATGGTCCACTGTTTCATTTGGTTGAGAATGCCTTTACTGTAAGTTCATGTTTCTCCTCCTTTTAGTGATGTATATTTTTTAGATTCTATTTTCCCTTATCGTTCGCTTTTGGCCCCTCATGAATCTTCATGATGTGCATTTTTATGCAGGTTCTAGCAAGCAATGTGATGTTCCTCGGTGTGGTGATCTTTGTGCCCTTCACATTAGGACGGGTTATATTGTATCATGTGTCGTGGCTTTTTGCTGCTGCTAGAAGATCTGCTTTGACCACCGCATCAATGCCTTTTACAGATACTGAACTATCATTGGAGAATATAACTCTGAAGAATGCGTTGACTTCTATCTCAAATTTGACTGATGAGGGCCAAGAAAATGGACTGCTTGGTCAATTCACAGAAATGATGAAAGTCTATGGAAGTGAATTAACTGGAGCAAACAATGCGCTATCCGTTGCTGCTGATATCTTGAAAGGTTCTGCTGCTGGATCATCAAAGCTATCCGATGTTACAACTCTGACTGTTGGATACATATTCATAGTCTTTCTGGTGTTCCTTTACCTTGGGATCATTGCACTGATTCGATATGCCAAGGGTGAGCCACTGACCGTTGGGAGATTTTATGGTATTGGTTCTATTGTAGAAGCTGTACCATCCTTCATGACGCAGTTCTTGGTAGCAATGCGGCAGCTGATGACTATAATTAAAGTTGTACTTAGGCTGGTCTACACGCTTGGGGCCTTCCCCCTGATGTGTGGGTGGTGGTTAGATGTTTGCACGATTCAGATGTTTGGTAAAACAATGTCCCACAGAGTACAGTTTTTATCAGTTTCTCCACTTACAAGTTCTCTTGTTCATTGGCTTGTTGGAATAATCTACATTTGGCAATTTTTCATATTCCTTAACCTTCTTGAGGAGGAGGTACCGTGTTCCTTCTTCATAATTTTACACTAGAAATAGGTTTTTTCTCTGTTACTACTTAATAATTTTTTTCCACTTTTGTGCTGATTGCAGGTTCTTCGCTCTGGAGTTTTGTATTTCCTTGATGATCCTGATGATTCATTACAATTTTTGATTGATGATCCAGTACAGAAGGTTGCTCGTGAGTCTTTGTTAGAAACTGCAGTGTCAGTGAGTTTGATTTTCGTGCAGGTATTTTTACCAGTCAAACTTGCAATCCGAATGGCTCCTTCAATATTTCCGCTCGACATATCGTAAGAAATCTTGCCTAACCTCTTGTTTCCTGAGATTGTGTTTGAGTAAGTCTTTCCTAACTTGTGCATCTTAGCAGTGTATCCGACCCATTCACTGAGATTCCAGCCGGCATGCTTCTGTTTCAAATATGCATATCATTTATTATGGAGCATTTCAGACTCTGGACCACGATTGAGTCCCTTCTACGCTGCTGGTTCACCGGCGTTGGTTGGGCGCTTGGTCTGACAGACTTCCTCTTGCCAAAACCAGAGGACAACATTGGTCAGGAAAATGGAAATGATGAACCAGGAAGGCAGAACAGAGCCCCAGTATTGCAGATTGGTGGACCTGAAAGGGCCATGGCTGCTGCGCTTCCAGCAGTAGATGACCCTAACAGAAGTCTCCTCCGCGCTGGAAATGTCAACACGGGTGAGGAATATGAAGATGATGTCGAACAGTCTGATTCACAGTAAGTTCTTACATAAGAAATAGCTAATAGCTTGTTTTGATGTTTAGAATTTGTGCATACGTGAAGTAATTAACAAAAGTGTTTGCTTGGTAAATAGAGTGGACTAGGTACGTCAAGAAATCCATTAGGTCTTTCCCTGATACCAACGTATTTTTTTAGCAGGTACAACTTTGTGCTCCGGATAATCCTCCTTCTACTTGTTGCATGGGTTACTCTTCTTCTCTTCAATTCGGCATTGATAGTTGTAACAGTTTCGCTTGGGCGTGCTCTATTTAGTGCCATCCCACTTCTCCCAATAACTCATGGCATCAAATCCAATGGTAATGTTTGTTAACGTTGATCATCTGATTCGTTCTTTCAAACGGTTTACACATTATTAATAGTCTTTTGAATCTGTAGACTTGTATGCTTTCGCCATTGGTACGTGTGCCTTTTGCACTACCGTATCTGGGGCCCGGTATGCAATCGAGCATGTCAAGTCAAAGAGGACTTTAGTCTTACTTAACCAAATCTGGAAATGGTGTGGTATTGTCTTCAAGAGTTCGGTGCTGTTAGCCATATGGGTAAGTGATTTTTGCTGTTGTCCATTTGGAATTTTTAGATACTCCAAACTATTTTTTAACTCTGGAATCTGTATTTTCAAAATTGTGACTGAACAGGTTTTTATCATTCCGGTACTAATCGGACTTCTGATTGAGCTTTTGGTGATTGTCCCAATGAGAGTCCGAGTAGACGAAAGCCCTGTCTTCCTCCTGTATCAAGACTGGGCTCTTGGGCTCATCTTTTTGAAGATCTGGACATGGCTGGTAAGTATTTTTTCTCCCATTAGCAATTTTTGCAGCATATACAGATATCCTGTCACTTAAAAAAACGACTACAATGGACAGGTATATCTGGATATTATGCTTCCATTAGTGGGTGATAGCTGGGGAGCAAAATTCGAGAGAGTAAGTGAAGATGGATTCTCGAGGCTTCAAGGTTTATGGGTACTTAGAGAGATCATATTCCCGATCGTGATGAAACTCCTAACAGCATTATGTGTGCCTTATGTCCTGGCGAGAGGAGTGTTCCCGATGCTCGGATATCCATTAGTTGTGAACTCAGCGGTCTACAGATTTGCTTGGATAGGTTGTCTCTCGGTAAGCCTCTTTTGCTTCGGCGCAAAAAGATGCCAAGTCTGGTTCGGAAACCTTCACAACTCGATCCGTGATTACCGTTACCTCGTTGATGTGAGACTCCTTAACTTTGGGGAAGCTGCTTTGGCTAAACCAAAGCAGTGAGGATGCAGGAGATGGTGATGTTAATAGGACGTGAGGAAGTTGCTGATACTGGACTTAGGCTCAGAGTTGCAATCTAACAAGAAGCTTGGAAACAATATTATCAAGTAAAAAATCTTTAGAAATAACGCTC